ATGCTGGCTTGCTGCTGTATGTTTGCGTTTATGTTCTATGCTCTACTTTTAAAAGCCTTTATCCATTAAATGTTATTAAACGCAGATATTTAATGTGATATTGTATATAATATTTGTTGGCGTGATTTAATATGCTTTATCTATTTTAAAATTAAAATTAAATTAAAGACAAAGCAATGTAACTTATGTTACATAAAAACCCATTTGCGCTTCTGTTTTGCCAAAAATATTTATGCACATATTTTTACTAAAAAAATACAAATACAAAATACAAAAATATTATCGCTGTGCAGCAGAATTTGTAAAGCATGAAAACCGCAGCAATGTTCATGGTAGCTTGATTATCTGAATATACACAAAAATAAATTGATACGGCACATTCAACTAAACTTAGTAAAGAAAGTCGAAAAACCCGAATATATATATATATATATATATATATATATATATATATATCATATTTATCATATTTATATTTATCATATTTATTATATTTAACATTTCTATAAAATTTTACAAAAATTTGTTTTTGGAACTGTCAACCGCAGGCAAAGGAATAAAAATAAGTATGCAAAATACAAAAATCAAATAAATGAAATTACTTGAATACACATACATACACACTTGCATAAATATCCGATATATATATATATATATATATATATATATATATATATATATATATATATATATATATATATATATATATAGATATAGCTGTTTGTTTCGCTGTGCGTGTTTTTGTTTTGCGCAAAGTGATTTTGTGTGCAAATTCTCAAGGCCGACCAAGGCATTTGTGGAGTTCATGCCAAATGTGTGCTTGCAGTTGGTTTATGGCCGGAGGCGAACGGCTTAATTGCAGTGGCTATGGAACACAACCGTCGACATTCAAGCCGAGCTTTAAGCACTTTTTTTTCTGTATTATTTTGTGCCATTACGAGGCGTTTGTCATTGCTGTGACAATTTGTTAAACTCGGCTTGTCACCCACACGATCAGCGTTTTGGCATTGTTAAGGCCAAGATACGCTGGCAACACCCACGCCGCACCAAGCTGAGCTGAGTCGGAGCCCACAGTGCGAGTCATCTAATTCGTGGCTTGAATGGTCTTGCATTCATAAATTAGCCGCTCAAATACTTGGCTGCTAATGTATCACACTTGAAGCCGAGTCGTGAGCCAATGCAAATTACTGCGTTCCGACAAAATCAATCAATCAACTGATCTACCCGCAGTCTCCAGGCTGTGAGCTGAGCTTGGTATTAATTTGGCTTGGGTGTCAACTGAACTAACTGCCTACCTGACTGCCTGACTGCCTGTTTGGCATATCTTATAAGATTGACAAGCTGGGATTAGATTTTGGCGTGAACAAGGTTGTCTGCGGTTATGTGGAAGCAGCAAGCATGTTTGCCTATAAATCAAATGCAAACGTATTCAAACCTGTACAGAAACAATAGATTCCACTAACACCATATCAATTCTTATCAAATCAAATGAAATATTTCAATTTATTCAATTTGTGCTCTTGTTTAATTGAATTTAATGTGTGTCTGAGCGACGCATTAGGCACGAAGAACAAACAGCAGAACGGAAAATCTCTTGAGACTTAAAAAAGAAAAAAAAAAACGAAGAAAGATTGCACATAATATAATTTAATTTGCTTGGCAGCGCAGTGGAAAATGATTTTCATTTTGACTAAAAAAAAAGCAGCAGCAGAAAACAAGCAGAAATATTATGAACAGATATAAATAACAAGACATGGCTCGTTCTAGCTGTCCAAGCACATTAAGAGTCGGCCAAAGAACTCATTAAGCGATGCGAGTGAAAACTGAAATATCGAATACAGCATGGAATTTGTCGCAATAAACAAGCATAAAGTATTTATACATATATATATATATATATATATATATATATATATATATATATATATATATATATATATATATATATATATATATATATATATATATATATATATATATATATATATATATATATATATATATATATATATATATATATATATATATATATATATATATATATATATATATATATGTATATATATATACATATATATATATATACATATATATGTATATATATATATATATGTATATATATATATACATACATATATATATATATATATATATATATATATATGTAAGTGTATGTGTATGTGTGTGTTTGTATGTGCGAACAATTTGTTATTGCGTTCCGTTTAATAGATGTTCAAAAGCAAATTAAGGGCAGTTCGGCGAAAAGCTTTTCATTTAGTTGGCAACATTTTCTTGTCTCGCACGCAACATGAGCAATTTTTTGTTGCAATCATGAAATCAGCAAGCTGAGATCTTTTCAAGCATAAACGCAATCATGACAGCTGCCAATTTTAATCGGTCAAATGTCAAACGGTGGACAGACTGACAAACTGAAGGAGATCGTAACTGATGTGTGGCACACGAATTAGATGAATAAGCCATGGAATTGCATTTGCATATGACACAGCTGCCCCCGAGCAGCAGTATCATAGAATCGGATTAGTCACTGGCAGGCCAAATTGATAGCAGCATTTAGATAAATTATAATAATTAAGCCTAAGCTGATGCCATAAGCGTAGGCGGCTTAATTAATAGCTTGCCTTTTGCGACTATATCTCTCTTTCTCTTTGTTATCTCTCTCTCTTCTCATATTTACATATATATATATATATATATATATATATATCTATCTGGTATATAATTAAATGTCCATGTCCGTTGCTAAGTGACCATTTAAGGGCATTGGCTGAGTTGGCCTGAGCAGGTTGTCTATATGTAGGTGTCGACCGGCTATACCAATCTAATAATTATCAATGAAAGATCTTTTTATTCATTAACAAGTTCTCGTTCTGTAGTACTTATAAGGCAGTTGCTGTTTATACACATAAATATATATATATATATATATATATATATATATATCTATTTTGTTTTGCAAACTGTATCGCTCATTCATTCGAAATGCCGACACTCTTAATGCAAGTCAAGTTTTAGTCATAATTTACATGTGTATTGCTTATGACTCTATCTCTCTATCTTGGAAATTCAAATAAGCGAACTTCCATATAAGGCGCACACACAGCGCAACCAAATTTGGTGCCAAGCAGCGAACTTGCAAAAAGAACTTGACTCGACTATGGTGTGTGTGGGCAACATTTAAGTATTATTATTATGTTGTTTTTTTTTGTTGCCTCCAAATCCAAATCCAAATCCCGCACACATTGTTTAAACTATTCAAAAGTGCTAACGAACTCTGTAAAGGATGTGCCAGAAATTCATTTGTGATGTGTTGATTTTTGACTTCGTTTACAAAGTTTTTCATTTGCTTCTTGGCTTCTTCAGTAATAGATGAGAGCTGCGTTTCAGCCATTCGGCCTTTCAGCCATTTTGGCCATGTGTCCAAACATAATTTTGAGGGCTTTATGACGCCCTTCTGGGAGCTGGCGGCAATGTCTTTTACGCTCAGCTGCCACATTTTGCAACATTTTAAATTTAGATCTGTATATTTTTCTAGCGCTGTTGCACTTTATGAGCAGCAGCGGAGCGTCAATAAATTGTCAAATTTTATGCATGGCGATTTTACATTTGGCAGAGATATTGCATTAGTCAGCGAGAAGCACAAGCTAAAGGCAAAATAAAAAAGAAAAAGAGAACTGGGCGAATTGTTTAAAACTTGAATATAATATATATAAAAGATTTCCCAATAAATTTTCACTCTAGTTTGAATAATTCAAGAGTAAAATAAAAAAGTTTTCATGTCGAATTTTAACAAAAAATGCACGTTTCGATTGACCAGTTGGTGAAAAGCCAAGCTATAAATTCAAGTGTTTATAACAATTAATAATTACCTATCATAGATGGTGCTTCAAGTATTGCATTGCCATAACCAGAATTGCATTGAATTATTTTGCCGGCCAAGTCATGCAGCAAATTGATGACATAGACCTCCTAGACATAGTGTGCACAGTGGCTGTTTCTTAAGTCATGCCGTATGACATGTGCCTAGCACACACCCACAAAAGCAACATATATATATATATGTATATATATATATTATTCACATTGATCATTTTGGCCCTATCGTTCTGGTGACAAATTGTTGGCCATTGTATGCGCCAGCTACACGGGGGCACATGCCAAACTTAAACAATGCAACTGAGCTGAGTCCAACAACAAAAACAAAAACTAAATGTTGATCATATCAATTGTAAAGGCGCTGTCAACTGGCACAGTTGGGGAGCGAAAACGACGACGGCAGTTAGTCGCTGCGGTAGCCCAAACGCCAAATGTGTGAATTATGGCGCACAATGAGGCGTATGCGCAATTTGGCATTGCATTTTACATTTATTTAACACAGCTCCGCGCAGCTCCGCACAGCTCATCGCTGTAATTTGAAAGGCAAATGCATGCCATAATTCGTTTATATATAAACCAAATGATTTCACTAGGTGGCTATAATAATAATGGGGGCGTAGAGGTAAGATGCTCGGTGTGTGTCGACTAGTTTGCATCTAATAAATTAGCGGCATTAATATAAAGTAAACATTCACACGCCATTAATGGCATACGTCTATGTATATATGCTGGCGCAATTGTTGCTCGAAATATTCGTACAGCTAAAAGTCAAATTAAGCGTCATTTAATACGCACATTTAACTAAATGACAAATTGCTCTAATGACCGAGTTGAATGATTAGCTACATAGTTGTCAATTAAACAAAACAAAAACTCGTTTTTCACATTGATAGCAGCATTAAAAATATAGTTTTAATTTTATTATAATTATTTATAATAATATGTTGGCTGCAAAAGCTGCTATGAAACTCAAATTGAATTACATTTTGGTCGTAATAATTTTTAAGTCGTAAGTAAATTTTTGTTATTGCAATATTTTAATGTGTTTTTTATTAGTTTTTTTTTTTTTAAATTGTTATTTCATTAATTATTATTCTCTTTTGCAGAAATTGCGCGTGTTCGTGCCTCCCTATTCCAGATTAATGGCGTTAAGAAGGAACCCCTTACGCTGCCCGAGCCAGAGGGCGCAATGGTTACGCTGAATGAGAAGGTTTATGTGCCAGTGCGTGAGCATCCAGATGTAAGTAGAAACAGACAAATATATACGAATATCGGGAAATGATCAACGATGATCTAATTTATGAATCGAAGCACATTTGAAGCGCTTCCGCTAATTAGAATTGACAGCGAGGCCTGCTCAATGGGCCCCAATGAGCAACTGGTACACCGGAAATCGCTTTAAGGTGCGCCCTCTAACAGTGCCCGAAGAACACGAGACGCTGCCAGTTGCTGCTGCAACAAATGGGCGGTTAGGCAACACTCAGGCAGACACGCACACGCGCGAACACACACTCAAACATATATGGAGAGATAACACACCTTTAGACAGCTGATGGAATCAGTCGGCTGTTAAGTTGTCCAAAACATGGCAATTGCCTCAGCTTGGGGCTCGCCTTAAGACTCGCCAAATGCAAAATGCGTATCAGTTTAGTTTGCTGCAGCGGAGCACTCTGCTCACTGTTGTAGCTTGCCTCACAGCACACATACACTCACATACGTGTGTGCATATATGTACTTTAAATGGGTTAGACAAAATCAGTGAAGCGTTTTAGGAAGTCGCTTGACGTCGTCGTCGTTGCCGTTGTCGCTGTCGCTGTCGTTGTCGTTGTCGTTGTAGGCGTTTTGTTTAGCCGCCTAGCCAAACGCCATGGCAAATTAGAATTTGATTTAATTTTATGCAATTTCAAATGCTGTTTTTATTTTAATTTGTTATTGTTGTTGTTTTTTTTTTTTGGAAAATGTTTGGGCGTAGCTTTGCCTTATTTCTGGCTGACAGCATCATCAAACAAGCGCTGACTGAATTTATTTCACTGCTTGACACAATTAAAACATATATTTCAATGAGCGGTAATGCTTGCTCCACATAGCTAATATTTACTATACATATATATACATATATATTAATTAAAAAGAGATTCGTTAAGATATATATATCTTAAAAAGAGATTCGTTAAGATATATATATCTTAACGAATCTCTTTTTTAATTCAAAAAGTATTTATTGGTTTATTTGAAAAGTCGCTATCACTTAAAGCGCTCAATATGCAAATATAATTGCTTAAAGCTGCTAATTAGCTAGACACGCTTAAATCTTTGGCAAATTCTAGCTGGAGGTTAAAGCTGTAGAGAGTTGACTATATTCTACTCTCTAATTTACCACAAAACGCGACATTTATAGTGTTGAATCATTCATATAATAATAAGCAATAAATTTAGTAAGAGCAGTATTTGAAGTTGGTGTTACGTTTGAAGTTGCGTTTGAAGTTGAAGTTGAAATAGGTATGCGCTCTGCCTATGCTTGCTCTCCCTATATGCTCTTACTTACTGAGTAAAGGCATTGTTATATGGAAACTCAAGGTAGTCGGACGGTGTAGTGATATTTTTGAATCCCTGTATCATAGGAAAAATGTCACAAGTTGCTTTCATCTTCTGTATAGCAAGCTCAGCTAATTTAACATAATACAAATGCGTCACTACAGGGTATTTAATATGTATAAATTTATATTGCTGCATTGCATAAGCTTTAACTGTTAAGCAGCAGCAGCAAATGTTTTGCATAAAGTTAGTTTTTTAATGGGAACTTTCTATATATTTTGTTCCTCCAAAGAGCCAAACAAATTGAATCTGATTGAGGAAAGGCGTAAATTAGAAAACGAACATAATTTGATGCTGAAACAGAGCAAAACGCTAAATCAAAGTTGCTTTTGATGATGCTGTTGCTGCTGCTGTTTAGGATGCTGTTCTTGTGCTTTCCAAATGGAAATTGGCACAGCCCGACTGAGATTTACGACCACAGGGCATAGGTTTTATAGATGTTTATATATATACATATATATATATAAATAAATATATATACATATATAAAATATGTTCGATCTTGTTTTATTTCTTTTGACTATTTTTGTTTTTGATATTTCAGGTGTTCTGTGTATTTCGAATGCTTCTATTTTTATGCCCTCGACCAGTTGAAGATTATTTTTTGTGTTTTTTGCGCGGGTGTGTGCGCGGCATTTCGATAAATCATTTCATTTAATTGCAATATTTCTAGCTCGATAGCTAAACATGAACATTTCTGACATTTTCTTGCCGAATGACCGAAGCCAAATGTTTATAAGTAAGACAAATTGCGTTTCAGGTCGCCAGGCGGGCAAGAAAATGCAACAAGTTTGCACAATGTTTATTGTCCATGCAAACACACACACACACTATATAAATATATATATATATAGATATATGTTTTAGCCTCGTCATTGGTCATAAATTTAACCACTGAGTCGAACGCAGCGGGCAGCATTAGCCGAAACGTTTGCACGAAAAATAATAGCAGTAAATAATTTCCACCATATTTAACAATGTAAATAATGATTTGTCAGCCGGCTGACAAGCGGCAACAACGACAACGCCATGTAAATGGACAACAATTTGTCAACAAGGCTTATGCGAGTGGATCGCGCATAGCATTCTGCAAGCCTACAAAATGCAATCGCTTAATACGCTCGATTGTTGCTTGCTGGCTGCGTTGGCTGTGTCCAAAACATAAATACAACTTAATTAACGTCAACAACAACATCTGTTGCAAACAAGCCAACTGACAACCACAACTACAATGCCATCTAACAGTTTACAATTAATTACTGAACAGCTATTAACACATAGTTGTATGCCACATTCACATATCTATAGCTCCAGTTGAAGCTGCTTCGCAGCCCAGTATTTATTTCAAATACACACACTCTCTCTTTCTCATTCTCCCTTCTACGTCTATCAATGTCCACCTCTTACTGCTGACCTGTCAACATAATGCTCATACGCCCCGTGGTGTTCACTGCGCGCAGAGCTGCAAGCTGTCATTTTATATACGTTCCGATAAGTTAGATAAAAGATGAAACTTTTATAAAAGCTGCTAAGCAGCTGCTCAAATAGTATTCTTCAGCTTAATTTTTATATTTTTTTAAATGGTTTGCAGTTAGAAATTGATGTTGGCAAGACTGTAAAAAAAAAAACAGATTTTTAGACACTTAAATGAGCAGTACATGTAATTTATATGATCATAACTATAAAAATATAGATAAGCAAATATGTAATAAAAATAAAAATAGCTGAGTTAATTGAATAGTGACGGATTAATGATTAGACAAACATCAAATAAGAGAGAATTAAAAATAAAAAAATATTTAGAATTCCACATTACTTTCCACATTATTTCTAAATTTGTATTTTATACTCAAGTCTAAGAATCGAATTTTCTTTAAACTTAAATCGAATCCTAGATCAAATCAGTTAAGCAGATGAAATAATATTTACACCTTTGGTTGATTAGAACTGCAAAAGGAACTATCCTTTCTCACAGTGTGAACCAGTCGTCCCATAACTTAGCGCTTAACATTTTTTAAGATTTAACATTACTTAGTTCACTGAGTTATTGTTGTCTAAGCTGAATGCTATGCTAACAGCTGTTGTCCATTAGCTGACATTACTAACAGCTTGAATATTTATGTTAAATTCTTTGCAACAACAACAGCAGCAGCAGTAACCGAGCTCAACTCATTTGTCGCAACATTTTGCACACTTTATGCATTGTGTGTGTCGTAAATATAATGGCAATTAATCTGAAAACTGCAGCGAATCGGTCATGAACATAAAATGCTAATTACGCGCAACTAAAAAATGCTCATTTCAATTTTTGAGTTATTCAATAAGTAGTACAGCAACAAATAACAACAGCAACTTGGTTTTGTTTTTTTTGTGTTAGATGTCAAACTGTGATTTATTTTTCCGCGGAATATAGACATACTTTTTGTGTTACATTCGCGTATAATTAAACACACGCACACTCGCAGTCGCACTAGTGACTCGCACTCACATGGAGAAGACATATAGATTGTATGTTTGTTAAAATGTACTTATACAGATTTGTAATCTATTTGATCTGCGCCGACTGGCTGCCTAGTTTTGCATTTTTTCCACTTAACTGTCGGCTAATATGAAAAGATGTTTTTCTGTTGGAAACTATTTATTTGGCTATAATTGCCTTGATATACTAGTTAAGTTAGCCCAAAGTCTGTTTACTCAATGAATGCAGAGATTATTATATATATTCTATTCAACAATTTGACGTTCTGCCTCTTTGTTTGTTAGCCAAAAATGTCCCGTGTGTTGTTAAGCAGCTTTTACAATAGTCCATTACAATTGTTGCCATAGCAGCCAATTTCCATTTCGGTTCATTAATTTTTAATTTGGGTTTATGCGCGTCTCTCACTCTCTCTCTCTGTCCCATTGAGGGCAATCTGCTGCTGCTGCTGGCTTATCAATTGTTTGCTCTACAAACACATATAAGTATTTAGTTTATAATAAAATCGTTCTTATCGCTGCACACAATCTGCTATATCAGAGTGAGAGAGGAATACACACACACAAAGCTCCTGCTCTAGCAACTGTCGCCCCTTTTGTCTGCTAACAGCATATTTTGCTCAAGTGCTGCTGTCTGTAAACAATAATATTAATAAATATTTTTGTTGCGCTCGCTGCAGCTTTCCACTTGAGTCGCAGTTTTCATAATTGATTGAAAATTAAAGGGAAAACTGTTCACAATTGATTAAGTTAATTAATTTTTATTTGATGCCGATTAAGTAATTGATTTACTTTAATTCATTTAAACCAAATTGAAGTCAGTCACAAAGAGCAGCAGTCGCCAATGCAAATATTTATTTTTTGAGTTTCTGGAAAACTTTTCATCGACAACTGAATGCATTCCATTGCGCTTGCAGAACTTGGCCTGACTCTGTCTCTTGCCGTAGCTGTAACAGTGTCTGTGGCTGTGGCTCTGTTTTCAGCCGAAGCCGTTTAAATGCACATTCTTTAATTCTTAATTAAAATTTGTGCACAGCCATTAAACTGCTAACTGCATTTATGCATCTGCAGCAATTTTCAATTGATTTGATCTCAATTGTTGCCAGCGGCTGTTGCAACCAAACAGCTGAGAGCATACAGTGTAAATGGCAATAGATATATAGATTTATTTTGTTAGATAAAGATTAATATACAGACATACAGACAACAACGAGTGCTGCTGTGCTGTAGTTGCTGCTGCCACTCACATCATCGTTAATACAACAACACACACATCACATCATCAGTTTGGAAATAACATTTAATATACTCTTGTAGCGGACGTGATCAATCAGCAAATGTGTAATATGTAAAGCAAGAAAGCCACAATTTTAAGTATATATACTTAAGATCGAAATATATATATTCTCAGTCGTATTGAAAAATGGTAGAATTGTCTGTCAATTCTAGAATTTTCAACTAAATGCCAAAGGCGGAATTCCTATTAACCATTTGACCAACGTCTATTCATATATTTTATAGAGTATATGGTCTGCGGTGCTAGCCTTGCCTTTTCGCTAATAAAAGCCAAACTGCGCCACATTTGGTGGGTGGTCGCCTCAGGGCCAGAATTGCGCCATTTTCAATATGAATATATATATATATATTTATATAATTGTGAATATAATTCAGGTTAAATTGTTGAGATATTCGACTATGAGTGAGCCTAATAAATCTACGATTTGATCGTCTAATTTATGAGCATCAAATTACGCCCGAGGGCGTGGTTAGAGCGACGGCATGAAGCATATGATAATTGGCTGCTGGCTCATCAATTACCCAGCTGTTGGCAAGAGCTCAACTAGCCGGGCTCCTAACAGGCGCTATCAGTGTGACCTGTTGTCAGGCAGCTCTCGACTAAAAAGGCCCCCTCAACTGGTATTTGAAATGCCTTTGACTGTTGCCGCCACTAAGCATTTGCTGCTGCTGCTATTGCTGTTGCAGTTGGCAATCTGTTTGAGAGTCTGGCTGATTGGTTTATCGTGGCGAATTCAGGCGTGTCGCCTTAGGTCATATTACGTATTTTGTCCGCTTGTGCATTTGTATTTTTTTTTTTTCATTATAATTTTGCTTCTCAACTCGTGAAACAGAAAATAATAATTTTGACTTTGAAAGAATGTTTGTGCATTGAATTGAATTTGGTTCATGAGTCACCCCGACCATTAATGTGTTTTAAATTTATATGAAATCAAGCTTTGGCATTAAGACTTCAGCTTGATTTGTTATTATTTATATATTATATTTTTGCTATAATTGTTGCTCATTTCCTGTCATTTCTTTCCGTTTCAGTTCAACTTTGTTGGTCGCATTTTGGGACCGCGCGGCATGACAGCCAAACAATTAGAACAAGAGACTGGCTGTAAGATAATGGTACGCGGCAAGGGCTCCATGCGGGACAAAAAGAAGGTGAGTTCTATTTCCAGATTATGTATAAGGGAAACACAATTCCAATATCCATCAACCGAAAGTATAAAAAGAATTTAAGAAAATTCAAAATTTCATTAAATTAGCACTTTAAATACCAATCAACCGACAGCGTAGCAATGCATAGTTTGCATGCCAATCTAAAAGCCCCAACCACCACCCACGTGCCCACACTCATACACACACATTCATATGGCTATTACTATGCAGCCAGAGCACATTTCAAATTCAATTTAATAGAAACTTTTCTGACGAAAATGTCGGTTGACATTCGGTTGCCGTGCCAAAAGGAAAATGATTTTCAATTAAGAGACAACTTTAAGTCAAATATTTAATACCACATGAATAATTAAGTAATTTAAATATAAGCTAAGAGACCGTTCAAAAGTCAATGTTTCTCATTTCTATTCTATATCTGCACTATGGCCGTCTGGATTCACATAGTTTTCTATTGGCATTTATAGTATTATAAATATATATTCAAAACTTGTCACTTCAACGCTCATGATGATTTAATTTCCTTTGGCGTTCGTTGAACAAACAAAAAAATAAACAGAGCTAAGATGATTAAATGTATTTTCGTAGTTTGCAAATGTGGAGCGCATTTTAAGCAAACTGATACACACACACAGACACACGGCAAACAGACCGTCAGACACACAGTCAGACGAAAAGACAAGTCATATAAAAGTGAACACTTTTATAGCATTGCAATATTTTGATAATTTAGTAGCTGTACACAAAGAGCTGACACCCACTCAGGTGCTCAGAGCGGACTGCTTGGCTGGCTGACTTGGCTGCTATAGCGTCAGCCGAAATGTGTGTGAGTCATGATATTTTCATGAAAATGACAAGCGAGTAAGACCAGCGAAAATGTTTACTAGCTGCAGTCAAACAAGATATAGAAATAGAAAAAGATGTATTCCATATATATATATATCTTGCACCAGAACCCCCTTTATTATATATATATATATATATGTATATAAATATGTATAAATCAGTTTCCATGCAACTGGCTGAATCAGATGTGTCCACAAAGTTGGCTCATTTTGCCGCTTGACAGTTTGTAATTTGACAAGTGGCTGGCGGCTCGAAATTAGCCAGGCACTGGACGCGCTGATGAGCCAACTTCAAAAGCCAACTAAACTGACAGTTTTGCCTGGCACTTTGAGCTTAATTGATTAGTAAATTCTCAAAATTATATTTGAGCATGACTATATAGCTATGCATATAGACGTATATATATATATATATATATATATATAATGCTTTCTTTCACGTTTTGGGTCAGAAGTTAATGAGCTGAGCAAGTGAAGAGCCTTGGGCTAAGCATTAATAAATATTAAGTACATATTTACAAATATTCCGAGCGTGACAGCCAGAAGTGCCTCCGAGCATTTGGCGTGGCGGAAAAGTAACAGCTTCAGCAGAATTTCACAATTTAGAATATTTCACGAAATGCACTTTTCTGTGTGGCCACAATTAATTGTAACACATGCGCCACAAGTGTCCTCTAAGCACTGCCCCCCACCATCCCTTTCCCCAGCTTTCTATTACAGATCGAGTCAAATTAGGAAAGGCATGCGATTTTATTGGCATTTACAGAAAGACTCAGTTATTACGTCCATCAGCAATAATCTGTTGCAGCTTGTAGTTGCGGCTGAGTTTGCGGTCTAAGAAACATATATTATTATTGATATTTATACGTGATATATATAGAATAGAATTTCACAGATTTTATTTCATTGTATATGCTATATTTATATATCTATGCTTACAAATACTTCTTAGATTTCATAGAGTATATATATTCAATATGTAGCTTTAGTCTTCTTGATTTATAGCTAAGATTTGCCGTCATATGACGCCATCAACTGGACTGTAGGAGAGCAACTCAAGCTTAAGTTAAATCTTAATGCGTATATAGATAGTTTCTTATAATTATATATTATATTATATTAATTATTAATTATATATTGTATTATTATATTATATTAATTAATAAATATATATTAAATTATTATATATATTATATTGTATTCCTGAGTTTGTTCTCTGTTTTTCAGGAGGATGCCAATCGTGGCAAACCGAATTGGGAGCACTTGTCTGATGACTTACACGTCCTGATTACTGTCGAGGATACCGAAAATCGCGCCAAAGTCAAGTTGGCTCAAGCTGTTGCTGAAGTGCAAAAGCTGCTCGTGCCGGTAAGTCAAAGCGCAAAAGCTATAAGAACACCCAACTCCTTCAATAAAAAAAGTAAATTAAATTAAAAATTAATTTTAAAAAAATACAAAACACCAAAAAAGCAAGAGCAAGAATTGAGATGTTAAATTTCTGGCATGTTCCTAATGCCAGCTGCCTATTTATATCGATTAATCAATTTGCTGTATCTATCTATCTGTAAACAATAAATAAATAAATAATTATCTCATTGCTAAAATTGTTAACCGAAATATTAATAATAATTTTATTTTATATTTTCATTTCTTTTACCAATCTAATATGCTTTGATGTATTTTGTTTAATACATTGAAAAATATCTACTACCACTACTACACAAAAACATACACACACACACACCAACATACACCAACACACGCTCCAATACACACATGCGTACGCGTACTTGTACTAACAGCAAGCCGAAGGCGAAGATGAGCTAAAGAAACGTCAACTTATGGAATTAGCCATCATTAACGGCACATATAGGGACACAACAGCGAAATCAGTCGCAGGTACGTCAATCAACATCTTCATATAAGTCAAAACTATTTATACTCAACTCAAACAAAAACAAGAAAGCAAAAACAAACGAAAACTTTTGTCTAATACCAACAGCTAATACCAGTACTGACCAAAACTAGATAAATGATTAAACAATCAACCCGGCTTTGAAAGCAATCTGAAATGCAAAAACTATGTGCTATATTTATATATATATTTCTGTATATATATATATATATATAGCAATTCGTGCTTCCTAATACGTCTAACCATTAATGATATAATGAAAATGTTTTCCTTTGAATTTACATGGATTTTCTATACGGACAGCTTTCTCATGCGTTGGTTCTCCTTCTGCTTCTGTTCTGTATCCCGCAGTGTGCGAAGAGGACTGGCGCCGTTTGGTTGCTGCATCGGATAATCGCCTGCTGACACCCACCTTGTCCGGACTGGCCACCCAGATGCGTTCACCCGCCAATGCGCCGCTCGGCGCTCCTTTGATACTTAATCCACGAATGACTGTGCCGACAACAGCGGCCAGCATATTGTCCGCCCAGGCAGCGCCGACAGCCGCCTTCGATCAGACCGCCCATGGCATGATATTTGCATCGCCATACACCGACTACGCGAACTATGCGGCGCTGACCGCCAATCCCCTGTTGGCGGAATATCCAGATCATAGCGGTGGGTTATTTGCTAGATAAACTACTCAAACCATATCGTATCTATATAACTACAAATTATGATTTTCAATCAGCTAAATATTGATTCAGTATACTCTTAACTATATGCGCCATAACTGTTGATACCAGCAAACAAACACACACACACACACGCACATACATCATTTCGAAAATTACACCAAAAAAACCCAAAAAGAAACAATGCAAAAACGATCAAAATAAAAAGTAATATATGAACATCTAATTAGCCAGTTTATGAGGCGAGTCATCGATCAGTTGAGTTATGGTTAGCCAAAGTGTTTAACATTTCTTACCGAGGCAAGCTGCGAGCAATAATACTTACTTACAACTTACTTACAGACACATGCCACTTAGGGGTTTCTTTTGCATAGTTTGAACAGTTAACGACTTAACTTTAAATCTAATTAATATTTGCGCAAAAAACAGGCAGCCAATTATGCTTTAAAGCGTTAACAATTATGCCTACAATAGCCCATAAATATATGCACATTAAGCATACGCCCCGTTGCATGTTGCATTAGCCAGCACAATTTTTTGTTCTCATTTTTTTTTTTAGTTTTTTTTTTTAACCAACTTTTCGCAATGATTGCAATTTGTATTATAATTAAATTTCACGCTTATTAATTTGTTATTTGCATTTATTTGCATGCCCTTGCAGGCATATTGACTAGAGGAGTCCAACTGGGCGTATTAGTTATTTGTGTATCTTGCAAAGATTATAGACTAGATACCACACAAAAATGACAAACATTTTGGTACTTCACTATCTATACAGAAGTCTGTAGATACCGTGTCACCGTGTAAGGGTATTGCATTTCGGTGTCATAGCCGAAGCTCTTGCTGCTTGTTATGATTATTTCTGCAGTGCCATAAAGTATGCAATGCAAAATTCGATGCTCGCACGCTTTTAACCCTTCGCTTTGATTTCACTTAACTTATTTTAATTTTATTTCTTTTTTGCATGCTTCGCACAGCTAACGATCACATTATTTTTTTTAAAAACCTCTAATATTAATAATTATATTCATTTTTGAATTTATTTCTTTTTTTCTTCCTATTTTGTATAATTAATTTTTTATCTGAATTCTGATATCAAAACATATTTACAGTTGGTCGATATATGCATGCCGGCTCCGTCTTTTGAACTTTTTTTTGTTTGAGCGCACCAAGAATTTATTGAAGTCCATAAATTGTTAGTTTTTAGTACAAGCTATATATATATATATATCTATATATATATATAAAGATATCTAAAGAGAGAAATACAACAAAAAAGAAGCAAGATTCTGCCGTTGACAGTGCACAACACAGAACATATTTTAAACATATTGAACGTAGTAATACTACATATTTAACTATAGATACATATACATATATAAACATATATACAAAAATATATTTATTTAGCAATGCACAACAACAGCAACAACAACAACAAATACTCAAATACAAAACTGCAGCTTTTCTGTAAGCAAAAAAAAAAAACAACTGAAAATATTGAACAAAAATGAAGAAAAAAGTTACTTAAGTAAAAATGATTATTGCTCGTTGAGAAACTTTTTGTTAGTTCATAGGTCGCAAACATTTCTACAAAACTGGCAGCTAGCGATTGGAAAATAAGTGATTTTAAGGCGCTTAGAGGCAGATTTTCTTTTTTCTTTTGTTTCGTTTTGTTTTTTTTTTTTTTTGTAATTAATGTTTTGGGTGTGTTTCGTCAGCTCTCTTTAAACAATTTGCAATTTTTCTATTTTGGAACATGAGTATATTCTAGTTGACAACAGCAGCAGCAGCAACAATGACGACAGTGAAGCAATTTGTTGTCTGTTGTTGTCGTTGTTGTTATGGGAACAATGAGTATTCTACTTACAGACATAGACATGCATATTACTTAAAGCCTTCAACTTCAAGTTGCTGCAGGTTTTTTGCTTAGCCTTTTAAGTAGTCTATGTTTTCTAGTTTTCTATATATATTTACATGTATACACACATACGCTTAGGTCTTAAATAACTTTTGTTATTTATTTACACTTTTTTTGTTTTGTTTTCTTTTTGATTTTACGGTGTAGGTTGATGTTTATTTGGTTTGAAATTCTTATACTCTTTTTTTTGTTGGGTTTTCTATTGTAATTAAGTGCAATGTCTAGCTAATAGCTAATTAGTTTCGTGTGGTAGTAGTTAAGCGCAGTATTTATGCACAAGTGTACCTTACGACAAGTTCAAGTTAAACATTTGATTTCCGAACCGTTTGATTTTTTTCCAGTCAGTGCCATTTATGATTCGCTTTGTAGTAATTGGCTAGCAGCCGCATGTCGGTTTTTTGTAGCATTTTAAAACACAAACATATGTATATATATATTTATATATATATATGTGTATCTTATTATAGTACCATATAGATGGAGCCTTGAATCGAGTTGGTGCTTAAACATTTTGTAGACATAAGTTAGTTGAGGTTCTCAGGCGGCCGTCCAACAATATTTTGCACAACTAGTCAGCAAAAACGGGAGCATCAAATCACCAGACAGACAGACACTGAGATAGACAGCTGGAGGAATGCTAAAGAACTGTAAAAGCAATAATTTATATTAATAATAAACATTTGTATGCGAATGTTGACTTCAAATGTTTTTAGGCTAGTTTGAGCTGAGCTGCCTTAAAGATCACTTATTTTGTCGACGTTAAACCCAGTAGCCAATCAATAAGTAAAACAACATGCATATAAACATAAATACGACTCATTCCAAAGAAACAGAACTTAAATCTAAACAAAAAATGCAATTGCAGTTAAATAATTATTAACAATTTACAATATACACGTCTCTTGTATGTTAAACTATTGAAATTGGTATTTAGCAAATGAAACAGTGTCAGTGTTCGAGCAGCAAATGAAAATTGTGTGTTATTTGAAGGAAACGCGAAGAGCAAAGCATAAATATATATATTTCTTTCTATTATATTAAGTTTTGTAGACAATATACATATATACATACATGCATACATGTCCACCTGTTCACCTGTCTAGCTGTATAGCTGTATACCTGTATGTATATGTATATATTTATTGCATTAAATATTATCTCTATATACCAATATATACATATAAAAATAAATATATATCTATATACACATATATATTTATATATATTTATGCACATATCTACATGTATCGTATCGTATATTTTAGTAGGCGCCCTTAAGCAGCAACGTCGTTTGGCGGCTAACAGAGAACACCCCTATCAGCGTACAACGGTCGGAGTGCCAGCCAAGCCGGCGGGTTTCATTGAAATACAGTAAACACTAACAAATCAAAAATAACTAAAACAAAAAAATAAGAAGAAAAGAAGAAGCATAACAGCAACGACAGCAAATCAATTTCTTGTTTCATCACATGAGACAAATATTATTTCATTTTTTTTAAAATGTATTTATCTAAAACAAATTATTTAAATTTTATTTCTCCAAACGCTAAAGAAGTTAACGATGAGTGTTATCGTTGGGCCGCCAACAAAAAAAAAAAAAAAAAAGAAAAAACAAAAACAAAAACTGGGCCCTAATCAATTTAGTTCAATTATGTTAAAGATTTTGTATTTATTCTTGTTTTGCCTTCTACATGACTATAACAAAAATTAAATCTTATTCAAGTTTTCGAACAATTTTAAATCACAAATAATAAAGCTCGTTGTGCCCTGCTGTATGCACAATGAAACCCAGCCAGTCCAGTTGGCCAGGCCGGTCTGTGCAGCTCCGTAACTCAGTTAACTCAGTCCAATAAATAACTCAAGCGCCTAACAGGTTAGTTGTGTTTCTACTCTCATCTATACAAATTGTTTTTTTACTACATTTAATATTTGCACACGAGGTGCAGTTGCCATGATGTCCTCCACAATGGCAACTGCACTTCAGCTGCGAGTTTTGATTCGTTTTCCAAACACTCACAAGAGATAAACAAATAAAATGAAAAATGAAAATATCTGAAAAATCAGAAAATCGGAACAAATTAGTGCAATAGACAGAAAGTCAAGCCGCTTAAAGCTGTCAAGTGTAAAGAATAACGTTGTTTTTTAATTATCTATATATAAATATAAATATGATATTTTTTTGTTAGTTTATTTTATTTCTTTGTTGACGACGTTGACTTGTGCCTTTGATGTTTTACAAAAACAAAAAGATTAAAATAGAAAAGAAAAAAAAAAACGAAAAATAAAAATATGAAAATAAAGGAAATGAAGATATGGATGAGAAATTCGTATATAACTTCTACTGCAGACTCGAAAGCAAAAGCAATTTAGTACACTTTGTATTACTCTTTCTTAAGCCATATAAATATTATTATTATTATTATTATTATTATTATTATATATCTATATATTATATCTATGAAATATGAATTTTATATGTGTATCTAGCGTTTAAGGCCCTGTTAGTCTGTAACGTTTACCTTGTATATCATTTGAAAATGTATGTTGCAATTGAACCGAAAGTGTACCAGAATAAAGATCAATGACTTTTGTTGAAGTGCAACCCGAACACAGAAAACAAAACCAGCAAACAACAACAACAAAAAATTCATCCAAGTCTTATAATTTCAACTCTACAACGATTTTGGAAATGCCTTCCGGGCATTCAAAAACAGAAAAGAAATACCAAACAAAAAATCTTCTAACGCTTTCTGAACTTAACAAAAAAAACCAACAAACCACTCCTATGTCGTCTCGCATAACTCATTGATCACCTCAAAGAAGAATATATATATATTAAAATCATAATTTTACAATAATCAAAACAGAAAATGAAACACTTAACTTTTGTTTGCAACTCTAGTGCCTTAACTTAAGTACTTAACTTTAGACCTAAGCTCTGTGTACGCACACTTCTAGCCAGCGTGGGGCCTGATGTACTACTCTAACTACTACTACTAGCACAACCACGACAACCAACCACATACTAGTCCGGGGCATAACTCTATGCTTAACGTCTGTCTCATCTACCCACCTTTATACACACACACACACTACACTCTCTTCCTCTCTAGTAATTAATGAAAATAATTGCAACGATTTAAGCATTGACAAAGCCAAATACCAAGTCTCCACCCACCTACTACCACGTATACATATATATATAAAGAAGATATATCTTGATGTGTATTTAACAGACTTAATCTATAAGCTTAATACGGTTCTGGTATCAGTAATACATATGTTTAATAATAATAATATCTTTTTAGTCTAGTAAGATGAATACTTGTGTAACGTTTTATAAAATTGCATTTGCATTTGCTTACAAATCCTGATATAACTTCGCACACACACAAACACACATACACACTCACATACAGACCTATACAAATACAAATTACTAAATTGATTCTAATGCCATGCTGAAGAATGTCTCTGACTACGAATATTTCAGTAAAAAACATTTCCCTTTGGCTCGTGCTGAAAATTAAAAATACATTAAATAAACAACAATGTAAATAACGCTTTACCTTGGCATTTTCCAAAAAAAAAAAAAACAATCATTTAAACAAATTGATAGCCAATGCACCTGCAATTTTATTTTATATTCTTTTTTTATATATTTTTCTCTAATCTCGAAAACTTTATACTCTTAGCATTTACATATGTATAAAAACCATAAAAAATATCAAATGATATGTGATGTAATATTATTGCTAATTTCAACTAACCAAAGGCCAAGTTAACTAAACAAAGAAAATAAAAGTAAAAAACAAAAAAACAAACAACAAATAGAACGTTAAAAAAGCAAAAAAGAAATTACTAGTAAATGATAATAATAATAATAATAATCATAAACGTTTACGTTGTTTTTGTAAATTACTCGAGCAATTCCTTTGAAGCGTCTTGAATAACCAATAAATGTCTCTTAAATAACCGTCTGACAAACAATAGCGAAAAGAACTATAAACATTTAATAATACACTTAGATTTGCACTATCTGCGATTTAGTATGTGTTTGTTCTTCATCGAATCCAAACAGAATGTTTTTTCATTTTATAGATTTTATTTATTGTTGAGAAAATCATTTTGTTGTTTTGTTGGAAAAACAATAAATGAAGAATAAAAAAAGTTACTAAACGAAATCTTGGCCTGCATGTTGTGTGCCCTGCTCTTAATGATCTATTTACTGTTCTACACATTGCATACCATACACATTATATAGACGTATCTATATATACAAATAAATATGCCCGCTTTCATTTAGTAACTTTTTGTGCTCATAATTCGCATATTAAAATATTTATATTTAGGTATTTCAATTATGAAACACGAAAACAATTTAACTAACTGCTAACCATTTATTAATACTCAATTTCCATTTCTATGACTTCTTTTATTTACATGCTAACCAAAAAAAAAAAACAACAAAAAACAATATATATATCTATATAAATAAAAACAATACCTAAAACAAAATCCACCAAAAACACATAAAAACTACCAAATTGCTAATCAAAAACCAACGTCCAACGCCTGCGCCATACTCATTTGGGTCAGATGCACCTCCTGCCATTGATATACAGCCGCAGCGAATGAAATGAATGCAGCAACAACAAGGACCAACAGCAGCAGCAGCAGCGGTTGTGGAAGCCGTGTGGGCAGTGGCTGAATGTGGCATGTGATATGCTAATTGCGAGTAGTGCAAGCACACTTCGTCACTGACAAATACTAATGCAACATCACACACACGTATTCACAAACACACCCGCATACACCCACACACACACGCCACATGCATTTGCTGCATCCAAATACAAACTGTGTCTGTGGCCTGTTGCTTGCGCCTGCATCAACTCTCATTTGTATGCAACAGCAGTAACTGTAAACAACAACAGCAACAACAACAACAGCAGCAGCAGCAGCAGCAACAACAACAGCAACATCAACAATATGAAGAAGAAGCAAAGCAATGTATTGAATTTTGTGGCCATTTCTGTTGCGTTTTGCCAGCCAGTAAAACAAAACAAAAAAACAAACAATTACAATAACAAATCAAACATAGTTTTATAGCTTAAATTAAAGAAGAAGAGAAAGAAACGCATATAATTATAATCTATTAACCACTTATAAGTTATAGTACATAGTGAAAAGTGCAGCGAACAAAAACAAAAATAACAAAAAAAAAAAAAAAAAAGAAATACTTAATTCAACTGCAAGTCTTTACGCATTGAACAATATCGATTTGTTTAAATGCCATTATAGAAAAGAATAACAATAACAAACATAAAGAATATCATTTACAGAATCTCATCTGCAAAAACACTTTCAACATATTACATTTTTTTCGAACAACGCGATGAAGAATCCTTTTTACATTATTTAGAGCTAAAACAAATTGTTTTATCTGTGTAACAATGAAACTCACACACATACACACTTATACACACACACACACAGAGAGAAAGCTCTTCTACTCATTATAGGCAGCAAAATTGTTGTTTATGTTTTTAAAAAAATATATATAAATATAAATATATATTTTTTTTTGTTAAATTGACGCAAATTCATTGTTAATGAAGTATTTCGATTATGATTATGTTATATACCATATACACACACACATACACATACACATACACATACACATACACATCAATATTAAGTATGTAGTTAACGCGACGTGCTTTCGCGCTGATTGTGAGTTAAAGCGAAGCGCGTGTGCCTATATTAAAATTAATAATTAAAGCAAATAATAATACAAACTACAAGTAACAGCCATATTTAGTTAATGAAAGGTAACGAATATCATGCATTAATAATGTACAATTAATAAATACATAATTTTAATTTACCTAATGTTAATATTGAGCTCAAGCACAATGTATTATACATAAACAACAAAAAAAAAAAACAAACAAAAAATAAAACAAAAATATTACAAAAAGAAAAGAATTAAACAATTTTAACAAGTTCAACAATTTTTGACTAAACAAACCTAAATAAAACATAAATGAAACAAACGAAATTCTTTAATTTAAAGTAAATGTTGGCAGTCATGAAAAGTGTTAAATTTTTTTGTAAATTTATAGAAATATGTTTTTTGTTTTTAAGAAAGATTCTTGCTTTCATAGAGAAACTATTTTAACACGTTCAACCCATTAGCAGCTAGCAATCATAATGTTAATAAAACGCAAAGAAAAACAAAAACTATGTTAAAAAATAGAAAGGACAACGGATAAAGGATAAAGGAAATTGCATTTAAATTATGGTACAAAAGAAAAACGGCTACATTTTATTTTAAATTAAAGAATTTTCCTTAAAGCAGCTAAATTATAATTACGCTAAACCAATTGAAACAAATATGTAATTAGTGTGCCTTTCAAAACATATTGCAACTAAGATAAATGTAAACTTATTTTTATAACGGCACAAATCAAAAACTAAAGTCAGCTAAAATTAGATTGAATCGAAACGCTAGGCAGCAGCAGCCAACTACACTATGAAATTATAATACGAAATATGTGAAGCGACATACTCAACATGTAAACAAATTAATCAATAATTTAACTAACTATTTAATGATGATGATGATGATACAATCTAATTATTATAATCTGTATATTTATGCTAGTAACGGCAATCGTGCAATCGTAGCAATGCGCACCGCCAGAATTTTCATGTCTTTTGGTGTGCTGCCTAAACATAAAACTTCATCTCGATGCGCATTGGTTTTGCTTATCGCATTTCGAAATTCAATACAATTGATGATTGTGACTAAATTAATACGGCCACTATATGTACGTAATCATGTAGTGCATAGGACTAAGCTAAAGCACTTGCATTGTGTTAATGTTAATGTCGATGGGTAACATTTATTTCAAACAATATTCATTCATTCAACATGATTTCATAAACACATTGCAAATTCACTGAATTCTTGCAATTCTATTCACATATGTTCAAATAATTACTACATACATACATATATATGTATATGTTGTATATGTATATATATATATAAATATATACGCAACTGTAACAAAATCAAATTAAATTATGTACAAGTTTTTGCATAAAATAAATGTTTATAAAAAAAATGGATCTTTGTTGTTGCAGTGCGAGTCGTGCTCGACGCAACTCCTAATTAGCTTTTGCATATTGACCATGAACTTGTTGGCTAGCAAAGTAATCATTGGCAATTGTTTGACGAGCTGCTGCACAGATGCGCAGATGCACGTGCCCTTACCACAATCAATAAAATCACAACAACCTCTACATATGCTCGCCATGTTGCTAGTTCGAGTCATTTTTGGAACTCTGTTCTGGCTGCGCTCCAGATGACATCCACTGCATACTTGCGGGCGATGCAGGCAGAGCTGGACACAATCAGCAGATGAGCGCTGCATACATAAGTAATTAGCCATGCAAAGTTCTAGAGATGTTGTTGGATACATCAGAAAAAGTAAGTTGGTTTTATGTGCTGTGGTGCAGGAGAACCTTCAATCTGACTACCTATGACAACAGGTAAAGGCTGGAACACACATCATGGTATAGAAGCAGTATTAAGGAATATGATTAAAGATTAAGATTTTGACGCTTGAAAGTATTATCTGGGTGTTTTTTTGTTGGTTCATAACTTTGAATTGTGAACTTCGCTTTATTTGACAATCCATTTGACAGCTGATAGTTGCTTTTCATTGAGTTTAGCTTGACATGTCATAGTGAATAGACTAGCATCAGAGCAACGCTTGACATCGCTGAAATTATTATCTAAATAATAGTAGTAAATAATAGTTCTGTTCGTCAAACTTATCATAATTAATTTTGTTATACTAGAAATTAACATATTTTCAGATTTGTATTCACTTTCAAGAACACTAAAAAAATTATATATATTATAGGCAAATACAATTTAGGTAACTTTCGCATGCTTTTGCCTTGAATCTCTTGTTTCATTTAAAATTCTGCATTTCCAATTGCGCAGCCAGATTGTCTGTTAATTGAAGGTATTTGCATTTTTTCAGTGCCCAATCTGGCCGCACTCGAAACGCAGCATAATCCTGTTGAATGCAACATTTATCAATGCATTTTTTCAGCGAGGTGAGATGCCATACCTATATACGTATATATATGTATGTCTGTATATATATATATGCCAATAAAAAACTGCACTCAAATGTTCATTAAGAGAGATATGTATGTAGTTATGGGCTGTGGGCGTGGCATGGCTACGGATGTTCGCTTTTGTCAGTACTTAATTATACGAAGTCGTTCGCGTCCGACTGCTACGTTCGTATTTGTTTGCAGGCGATACCTGCGCCAATGACGCGCTCGTCATTGCCTGTGGGTTATTGAATTTGCGGCCTTTTGGACAAAGCGGTAAAGCCATTGCGTTAAATATAAATAAGAAAAAGCAAAAGTTCTTTGAAGGGCCTTGTATAAAGGACCAGCATGTGCAGCAACGGATGCACTTCTTCCTCCTCCAGGCCACAAGTGTATAAATTGATTGGATCGTATCTTGTGCTGTAGTGCATATGACGACTACTCAATTAATTAAAAAAACGAATACTTCTGCTACTGCTGTGCGTCTTCTTCATTGATGTGCTCTACATGTTGCTATTCGTGTGCATATGATAGTTGTATATATCCATCGGAGCTAAAAGCTAATTACGTAAAAAATCCATTGCATACTTGCAGGCAACAGCAAAGCAATGCTGTCTACGAAGAGTAGATGGGATACTGAATGTATATTCTATAACTATAGTTATATCCATAGCGCTGAGCTAAGTGTGGAATATATTTTTTTTTGGAAAATTGAGACAATTAAAAAAAATTAAAAATATTGGAATATATAAATATGCATAATTTGGTAAATTCAAATTTATAGTATTTTTGGAGTAATTTTTAATTGGTATATTTTGCTACTTATGCTTATAAGACTTATCACTAAAATCAATTATATTTATAAGCACTATATCTAGGATCCATTCCAGACTCTTTTGGATGCATTTCAACCAACACGTTCCACATCAAATTAAATCAATTACTTTTGAGCATTTGTTGATCTTTTTACTGTCCCGAAATTCAGCCTGGTTGCAAGCTGGTTGAAAGCTTTGCAGTTTTTTTATTGCCGAGTTGGCCATGCGCAGAAAGAATTAATTATTTTCCTGTTGAATGAATAAATGAATTTATATTTATTAAATATGTTGCGATACTTAACTTATTTTTCAGATGGCAATTTGCTGCGCAGTCAGATTCATTTATTGAATCCTGGCGAGCTGCGTCATTTGGTTATTGAATTTCATTCGTTGACTTTGCAAAAAACCTCACTTCAAATTACATTCAGTGAGTAGCGAAATTTGGGCAGTTTTTTGTGAATGCAGCTCGATTCTTCACAGCTTGATAATATGACAAATTCGTTAGTGAATTACTTTGGGGTTGAAGTTCATTTTGTTTGGACTTCGTTCACTGGAGATAGTCAGGAGACATTTTGAAGACTCACTTTTATAACTTCCAATTAGCCAACAAAGCATCTGCTGTAGGCAGCAATCAGGGCTTAGGTATCTGCCCAAAGATGAACATTGGTTGATGAAATACAAGATTCTGTTCTTCCAGAATGTTTGCCATTTGAATCTCAGATCTACTCCAAAGGTAGTTCATCGAATACAGTATTCAGTCGTGAAGGAAAAAATTTAAATTTATTTAATATGTTAAATCAGTTTTTTGTATGTGTAAATAAAATAAAATAAATAAATACATATTTTATGTTAAAAACTTTAATCATAATTAAAAATTAAATTAATCTGAAAAAAAGCAAAATAAAATATTTAATTTATCAACTTTTTATATTATTAATTTTCAAAATTTCAGTAAAACAAAGTGTACAAGAAGTCAAATATAAACATCCGCATCTCAATCAAGGTAAAATAAAAGGGCAACAGGTGAAAGTGCATGCGCCATTTTAACGGGTTAACAGCGCTCTGTTAGCGAGCCTTAAATACAGTTGCAATTGGCCAACGCTGTTCAGTTCTTTGACAGCCGGATGATTGTAAGGATTAAAAGTGAGCGCGATATGAAACACAAATCAAATACATAAAAAATACGGAATAATAATTTTCATAAAATAAAAAAAATAATTAAAGACCAGTATGCAAAGGGCGATCATTCCGTTAGTCTTTCTTTGGCTTATGGTGCTCTGCGCCATGGAAACTTCGCCGACTAAAAAACAACATTTGCGTCCACCTCATTATCTGGAAAGGTGCGTCAACGGCCACAAGCAGGTGGAAGATTGCTTCAAGGACTTGCCGTCACATCTCATGGAATTTCTGCAGAACACCAAATTGGTCATAGGTCAACAAGAGATCTTTGCCCAGTGCGAGTAAGTTCAGGAAGTGTCTTAGACTTGTATCTGTGTGTTACGATAAATTTATACAAGAGAAGAAATCGTTCAATGCTTAATCACTGAAAGAGTAAACAAAGTTAATTTCTCTTGAATAAATTCATAATTTTAAACAGTGAATATCTATCATTTATTTATAGTGTATTCAATCAATGCTTGAAATGTTTTGATGATTATTCAGCACGTTGCCTGCAGAATCAAGAGCTCAGCTTATTTAAAAAAGATATCAATGGTGTTATCAAGTTCTTCGAAAAGTTTTGTGCAGACAAAAACTTTCAGCGAGGTAAGAGAGAAAATTAGACGTTCAATATTTAATTTTGGCAAACAGTCTTATCGTTTTATATTTTATATGCGATTGTTTAAAATGGTTAAAGTAATATTGCTGAATTAAATATAAAATTTACAATTTAAAATGTTAAATTTTTAAAACAATTATATTATTATTAGAATTAATATATTACTTTATTATATTATTCTAATTTTTTATTCTATTATTTTTATTTTATTATTTTATATTCTATATAATTTCATAAGCTTGACTATAAGCAAAAGCTGTTGTGACATAAAATTGAATTTAAGTAAATATATCAGTGTAATTATATTTAATAAAATTTGATTTAATTTAATTTCCTATTAGAATTGGTTTATAATCGATATAAAAATCGTATAGAATATATAAGTGCCAAATAAAATTAAGTAAAATTTCGTTTAATTTTATTGAATTTGATTTTAGCTAAGTTCTATGACAAATCTTCATGTTTCACTCTTTAATTGTTAAAGTTTATATGTTAATATTTACTACTAATCAAATCTTATAACCTCTGCAGATTATTTGCGGTACAAGAATTGCTTTGCAAATAAAAAGGACGATTGGATAAGCTGCACCTCTGACATTGAGAAAGCGCTGACAGAAGATTTGAACGACAACAAAGGCAATGCAAGCAATAAATTGATGCAGTTTTGTTGGTAAGCTGAGCTTAACCATTTTAACTGAAGAGAAACCATAATAATTAATTAAACATTTACTACAGCGATTATTTGGCACACGAGAGCTGTATATACAATGGCACTCGATATATGAGCTACACAAATTCGTCCAAGTTTGTCTGCAAAGTCGCAAAAATGTTGTCGCCTGAGGACTATTTCGGAAACTGTCCACAACTGGAGGACACGTGCGCCTGTGCCGCACAGATTTGCTCTATCTGGAGCAGTGTTGTGCTCACTGCATTGGTGCTGGTCTTGCACTACGGACGTTATCATGTCAAACAGTAAACTGTGGTCGACCTGTGGTTGGTTGTCGAGGTTGTTGTCTACTTTTAAATGCATATCATTGAGTTTATAGAAGATATATGTGTGATTCACCTGCAACAGCGACACTTTTTGGTCTCTAAAATGCAGTTTAACCTTTTACCTGTATATATGTGTATTGAATAAACTTTACTATTACATTCAGCAGCAGCTCACAAATCGTTTATTATGATAAAAATCAATTGGAAGCTATGCAGCCACAAAAGTTATTGACATTTATTTTCATTTTGAATATATAAGATGGATAAAATATATTACAGCTTTTCATTTCTGAAAGGTAAGGATAAATAAAAATAGTTTTAGCACTTCTATAGCATAGATAAAGCCTGCTTTAATGAGTATTAACTGACGAATATATTCGAGCATATACTCAAAATTTCAAGTCTTTCGTTTTAAAATGACCAGGCAGCCTCTGAGCAAGGCAGTGCAGAAACCAATTCATTTTGCATAAGTATCCATAACAGCTGTTAAAAGGTTCAAGCATGTACATAGCATAACTTTAACAGAGCTCTGTTAACGAGCTTCAAGTCGCTTAGAAATGTGTGGGATTCGAAACACGTGCAGAAACTGTGTCTGCGAAAACTATTGCCTATCTTTTTGTTTGTCGTTAAATTTTTAAGTTTTCAATTAAATTAATAATTGTTTTATAGCAAACAAATTACAATTTATATATTTATATATATAAATAATTTGAATTGATATAAATAAAATAATACATTTTTCTTATTGTTCTTATTGATAGTCTGAAACGTATGGAACTCCCTTTAGGTTTCGGATCCTTAGGGCTTACACTGAAATTGTAAAATGAATTTACTAGAATTCTGAGCTCGATTCACAATTTTTGCATTAAAGATAGTTCTGTCATCAGTACAAATAGTTTTGCGCAAATATTAATTCGCATCAGCTCAAGTTGTCAGCCAAAGAGCGGGTGCGTGTATGCAATAGCCACCATTTCCTATAACAGAAACACTTTTTTTAGGGCAACAAGCCGAAAAGCATGCGTGGCCGTCGTCAAGGTGCATGCGTTGTACCTAACAGCACATAACCAGAGGGCCAACAGCGCGCGCTCTGTTAGCCAGCCTTAAATATTGAGCGTACTGGCCGAGCCGATTCAGTTGTTCGGCAGCAAGCGAATTGCAAGGACGTCGAGCATACGGCACACGGAATACCAAACACGCAGTCTACCTTGCGGTCAAACGAAAATAACGTAGCTCGTAACTCGCAGCAACAAGTGAAGTGAATACGATAATGAGTGAAGGGTTAAGGTTTGTGGCCGCTTTCGGCTGGTTTTTGGTGCTCTGTGCTATGTCAACTTTACGCCAGGAGCCACCACATGCTGATGTTGATGTTGATGTCTGTGGCAGATTCCCAAAAATTGTAGACAATTGTTTCAAGGATTTGCCGCCACTCCTAAAGGAGTTTCTACAAAACAACAGGATTATCATAACTAAGGAGGATTTAATAGGTGCGAGTAAGTCTCGACTGGATTAGAGACAATTGCGAAAAAGTTGGCCAGTGAGCAAATATTATTAAAATTATTTAAAGTTTACAATTGATAAGTGATCGGAAACAACATTATTTGTGGCCTTTTTTCACATAGTCTCAAAAGTATTCAGACAAAATAATAAGGTGGAAAGTGAATACAAACTTGTGCTTCATATCTTTGTCCAAACGAGGCAATATTTATATAAATTTAGAAATATATATTAATAGAGAATTTGATGTAAAGCAAGAACTTCCAACATTTATTCGTAGTGCTTTAAACCGCGCCTTGAAGTGTTTTGATGTCTACTCCAAACGTTGTCTACGGAATCAAAAGCACGAGCTGTACAAAAAAAATATTTATGGAGCTCTCCAAATTTTCAAACAGTTTTGTGCCGTTGAGGACTTTCAGCGAGGTAAGGATTTAAAAAAATAAATATTCAATTAAAAAGTTTTTGTTGCATATAAAAGTCTGCTTTAATTATGCATACTTGTCTGAGTCTAGATGGGTATAGACAGAAATTGTTAGTTCAAATTACACATATCCCACTTCCCCTACAGATTATTTACTTCACAAGGAATGTCTGACAAAAATTCATTCAGATTGGCTAAGCTGCAGCTCTGACTTTCAGAAAATCATTGCTGACGACAAACTAAAAGTTACCGAAAAATGTCTGGAGTTGTGCTGGTAAGTTTATTGTTAGCATTACGGTTAGGGCTAATTATTGATCACAATTGATTTCTACAATAGCGCCCGATACAAGTGCTACAAGAACTCGGCCAAGTTTGCACGCGAAACCGCCAAAATGTTGTCCGACGGGAAGCACATCAGTAACTGTCGCCAGCTGGAGGAGAAGTGCGCCCACGCCACATACATTTCCTTTATCTGGAACACTGTTGTGTTCTTGGCTCTGGTGCTGGTGCACCGGGCTGTGTGTGAGGGCCCTAGCTGTTGTTGTCCATTTGTCAATGCATAGCATTGGGATTTGCTTGGATAAGTATGTGTGATAGGTATTAGGTCAGATAGTGACACTTGTTAGACTCAAAGATGTATGTAATAAATAAACTTTACTTTAATGTGCTGCATTCCAAAATTTAGTTAGTTTCTTTTGCTGCAAATGTCGCGTGATGGGCAAAAGCCAAAATCAAACAGCGCTAAGGTAATTTGTATGTTGCTCCTCATAGATGTTCATTTAATTTATCGACTTTGCTCTCAACAAAGATCGATAGTAATTTTCTTTCGCTGCAAAGGGTTTTCGTGAAAGTTGCTTGGCATATCAAAGGTTGTACTGAAAGTTGAGCCGGCAGAGCGGAAAACTTTGCAATAATGAAAATTTTAATTTCATTTTAGCTAACATAATTGTAACTAGGCAAACAATTAGCTAGTTTTCAAACTCAATGCTAGCTCACTAAGTGCACTCGGTAGAGAAATTAATTTCAATTAATTTAATGTGCTGCAAATGCAAAGAGAGCAACGAATGTTGACATTTTTATTGTTCACATTGAATTTTTGAAATTGATAAATTACAGGGCGGAAAATCAGTTCAATATACCATATTCCGTGTCAATATTTAAGAGCAACAACAATTTCAAAGTCCTGTCCTGTGAGCAGACATAAATAAATATTAAGCACGAATGATGTTGGCTTTAAACACGAGAACCGTTGAAAATCTTTTAAAGTCTACAAACACTTAATTATGCGTGCATACAACCTCTTTGTTGGGCACTGGGAACTGGGTGCTTGCCACAGGATTGTCAACAAAGCGAAGAGAGACGCCACAGGGCATGCGCTGTCAGCAGCCGAAGTCGAAGCCTTAAATATGGTGCGATTCGACTGAGCGCACTCAGTTGCTCGGCGACAGGCGAATTGCAAGGACTTTCAACTGAACGGAATAGGCAGTTGGCATAGCCGTTGAACATATATATTGTAGCTGGTAGCAACAAGTCCAAGTAGCGAGATTAACGCGACGGCGACAATGTGTGAAATAAAAGTCTTTGTCTCGGTTGTATACGGCTTGATGCTGTTTAGTGGCACGGCAGCAACGCAAAATAAAAGCCTAGAGGAGCTGCCTAATGTGGATGGTTGTGGTACCACTGAGAAGATGGTCGACGATTGCTTCAAGGATTTGCCGCCACCTCTGATGGAGTTTCTGCAGAACACCAAAATTGTCATTACCAAGCAGGAGATCATTGCCAAGTGCAAGTAAGTGCCGTCGGGCTTAGGGACACTTACGAAATAGTTGACATCAAGTGTGACTAGATGGGAGATTTATGCGCGTGTGTTGCTATAAATAAAACACCTCCGCAGGTGGCATTAGGCGAATATCCAATATTGATTAAGCACTCAGATGATTTGGTATTTTTTTCGAGATTTCTTTGAGTTCATCATTAATTAATGTTCGGACTTCTTTCGTGGAAAAAAAGTTTTGTTTGCCTTTATTAAAAGGGTTAGCTTTGTCGAGCCTGCCTGCCAGCTGAGCAGAGTGGAAAATAATCAGAAAAAAAAAACAACAAAGCCCAAATAAATAAAAACTTTTTACTTTATTAGTTATGCTCCACATTATCGTTAAATGAAGACAACATTAATTTGGCTACGCGCGGAACTCAATTTATGAAATTGAATCACCAATTAACGTTGATGAAAGCATAAGATGCTTGCCTTGAACTCCTTATCAGAATGATTTTGTGCCAATATCAAAGTTGAAAGTAATTAATAACCAAATTTTCGTTATAGAGTTTTCAATCGTGGAATGCAATGCTTCGATGCCTACTCCAAACGTTGTCTGCAGAATCGTAAGCTCAACTTGTATAAAAACAATATCGATGGTGCTCGCAAGTTCTTCAAGAAGTTCTGTGCTGACGAGGACTTTCAGCGAGGTAAGCGGTATAGCTATAAATTAACTTTTGCCTAAGTTTAAGCAGTATTTAAGCTGGTTTCAAGAAGTGAGCCCTAATTTATAATATTCTGTGAAGCAAACTTTAAACTAGGCCAAGAAGTCATGAAACCAAAGCCTAAGTCGCATTATAATTATTTACACAATATTTATGCTGTGACAATAGTGAAAAACAGTCCCAAGAAAGACAAACTCAAGAAACTTTCACAGATGAATATTAAAAGAAACAAGTTCAAAGTTACAACTTAGTTCTGTGAAAAGCAAATATATAAAAACAAATATTGTGTGGCAGAGTGAAGATATGGAATTGTATTTAATTTTGTTTTATTTTATATAATTATATTTATTTATTACTTATTTATTATGAAAAGTATTTGCCCGAAAGCGAAAAGAGTGTATAAAATTTAAATTTAAATGTCATATTTGTCTTTTCTGACAATGAACTAAAATGCAAATATTTAACACATTTAATATGTAAAAAAACGTACATAAATTATGAAATTGTTGTTGTCGTAAAAGATATTTCCGCATTATTTTTTTTTTAATTCTTTTTTTAATTTATTAAGCAAGCAGCTAATTTGGATATAAAATTGTGTTAATTAAGTTAACTATGTGTTCGTGAAATTCCACAGAGCGTGAGAGAGAGGGCGGCCGTTATTGTAATTTAAATAGAAATATTTAAGGTAAAAATACTGGAAAATTTTTTGTTGGTATTTATTTGAAGGAATACAGCGTTAAACAGAATTTTTCTCGGTAGCATACAAAATAAATAAAAATAAAGCAGAGATACATGAAGTCAATGTGGTTTGGCTCATTGAAGGCGACATGATGAGGAAGTAACTCATAGAGAGACGTGAACTAAGACAAAATATTTACCAATAAATATCAAAAAGCCTTCTTACATAAGCCTACAAATTATAGTTATAAATTGTCCTTTTGCTCACAAAACAAATAACAAGAAATATTTGCAAATTCAACTCATTTGAATACAGTCACAAAGTAAACTGATACAAATGCAGCTAGATGCAATCATTACGGAAAAAATGCAAATCGAGAGACAAGGCAGGATACAGTTAGAGACATGCGACAGATACAAGATACAGCTAGGACCATATACTGTTGCGACGGCTTCTCAACTGCCTCCCTCTTGTCGTCGTCGATTATGCGGCTGCTTTGATTTGCAACTTTGATATTTAGCCATTAGACAAAATAAAAAGAAGCTAATTGGCTTGTAAATACTTGATAGAAAATTGTGGAAAATAAGGATAAATATTATAAAATATTCTCAACAGATTTTGTAGTATAAATCTAAAGAATTTATTTAAATTAATGTAACCTGAATAAATATATTTGGTCTCATCCAACAGACTTGATTGATTTACAAAAATAAAAATTTCTAGTTCAAAAAACTCACTATGAATAAATTTATCTAAAAATATTTTATGCTAAGCAACAGGTAATCAGGTAACCATAATGATCATAATCAATTTACTTCCGCTCTTCATCCTGTGTTGTTCTCTCAAAAGACTATTTGCGGCATAAGGATTGCTTTACGTACATACAGGTGGATTGGATAAGCTGCACCACCGACTTCGAGAACATACTCACCGACGATTTGCATGACGACAAACGCAATGTTACCGATAAATTCATGGAATTTTGTTGGTAAGTTAATTGAGCTCGTGTTGCCTGTGGGTTGCTAACTACTAACTGTCAACCATTTGCCCGCAGCGCACGTCTCGCTTACGAGAACTGCATCTACAATAGCGCCCGATACAAGTGCTACAAGAACTCGGCCAAGTTTGCACGCGAAACCGCCAAAATGCTGTCCGACGAGAAGCACTTCAGCAACTGTCGCCATCTGGAGAACATGTGCGCCCATGCCGCACGCATTTCCTTTATCTGGAGCAGTGTTCTGCCCGTTGCATTCGTGTTGGCGCAGCATTACCTGCCCGTGCCCCTGCCCAATATAATCCGGCAGTAAATTGGCTTTTGTCTGTGGCTGGTTGTGGTTGTTGTTGTCCAATTGTATATGCATAGCATTGAGTTTTTCGTGAATGGGCGTGTGATTCTCTTGGGTGGGTACTAGGTCGGACAGCGACACTTGTTAGTCTTTAAGCTGCATATTAATCGTTTGTTTATATCTCTTGTATATGTCTATTGAATAAACTTTACTTTAGTTGTGAAACCTCCTTAATGTATTTAACCAAGATTTATTGCGAAGGGAAATGAACTTTATGAGCCTCAACAACTGCCAAAGTCACATGGCGTATGAGTGATATGCCTCATTGATTGACAAACATCTTGATGCAAAGGTAAGCATTTGTGTACGCACACACATATATGGATACAGATGAAAAAGCAAAGTTTCGTCTCAAGATAAGGCAAATTAGTCACATGTTTAGCTTGAACTTTGTTAACTTTTTCTTCCACATTCCTCCATCAAATTCTTCTTCGTGATTTTGAATTCTTTCGACGGGCCATTTGAAGTCTGGCAGCAAACTTTTAGCTAAGCAAACTGTCTGGCAGGAACAAAAAACTTTTAGCTGGCTCAAAGAAATATTCTGCTATCAAATATCTGCGCACGTGTCTGATAGTTAGGTGCGTTTCAGGTTACTCAACTTGTTGTTTTGAATGCGAGTCACTGAATCCATGAGTGCACTTAATTTATTCATGTTGCTTTCAACAAAAATCGATATTCATTTAGTTGTGTTACTTCAAACATTGAGTTTGTGCCACACCCATTAGCAAGCCAAAGGATGCACTGGTGCTCGGCAATGTTTAGCTATAAGAACTTTTCTTTTAATTTTGCATGAACTAACCGTATTCCTAATGGGTAAGAGCAGGCAATTAGTTGTTATAGTCGATGCAATAACTTGTTGTTGTGTGGACAGCAGAGTGCTCTCTGCCATTAAAAGTAAAACACGCTGCAGGAGTTAAAACCGGTAGCTTTCCGGCTGTGCTGCAACGCAACCTGCATCAACAGGCTGCCACGCTGAATCAGAGAAATATGGAGCATGCAACATATGACCATAGGCAACGTAGACTTTTCTGCACTCCGCAGAAAAAAATATTTAAAAATACTTTTTCATATTCAATCATAAATGTATATCTCAAATATTTATATTCATGTTGCAGCGCTGCAATTCCATTGAATGCTCACTCACGCTAGAAACATTGAATGGAAAGTCGAAAATCCAAACAAAATTGACTTTGATGCAAAATCACAATTATTTTCCATTGAATAAAGTTTTAAAGCATTTCATGTGAATTGAAAATGAATATGAGCAATCTCATAAGCTATATAAGCTCTTCAAACAAGCTGTGCTACAGGTTAGAGATAAGTTCAGAATTTGCGAAATTCCTGACTGATAATGTCAAATAATACCAGGCTATTCTTCGGTCTGCTTATATTGTATCTACCCCAGGGGTACGCTGCAATTTCCTCTGAAATTTGGTTTTCATACTCAGGCTATTTAGCTGCATTCATGGATAATGTATGAACAGGACGTGCGTGTTCCGTAGATTAAGCTTAATATTTATGCATTGGCATAACTAGCCATAGTTAGCTGGAATTCGAAAGTTTGTTAACACGAGAGAAAACCAATTTAATCATATTAAATATATCGATGCCTAATCGGATGCCCTTCTTTTTGTTGCATCTGAATCATTTATTTACTTCGCTTTTTAACCTTTGGCCATGGAACCGTATTGATTACGGTCAATAGATCGTTCACCTGTGCACTATTTGCTCTTAATTTTCAGTGGCAACTTAATTGCTTTTTCATCACAGTAATAAAGCTAATAATGCTGCAAATTCTACCAGCACAAAAGGTGGCACAATTTCATTAGGGGAACGGAAAACGTGCAATGGATACAAATTAGGTCAGTTTCATGCTCGAGAGTTGATTGAAAGCTTGTTAGAAAACGCGGTTACTTTATACTCTTGAAACGAATTTAAATAGAAAATGTGTGTAATTTATAGTTATACTGAATTCAAGGACAATTATGCCACAGCGGCCAAAAGATTGCGTTGCTTACAGTTTCATATTAAATTTAATTAGTAAACCAACAATCGAAACTGATTAAAATTTTAATTGGAAAATTTCATAAATGCTACAAGCAGTCGTTGATTTCATACGAAAAATGTCTTTTGATTGGACGTTCATAAGTTTCAAAGGCAATAATTGAAAGTTCACTAAAATGAATGTGGAAAAAATATGAAATCTTTAGCATGGCGAATGCTAAATACTCTTCCTGCCTCATGAAAAGCAGAATTAAATATTACATGAAGTCAATAAAGAAGTCGTGAATACAAAGTTTGTTTCAGATATCTTAAGGAACTCATATAGTTGTTAGCTTGTTAGTCTTTTAGCTTTGAAACAGTTGCCATACAACAGCAGTAGTGCAGGAAAGGTCGGACATTACTGGATGCCGTTTGCTAAGTTTTCTAACAATTACTCTAAAGCTGAGAGCTTAGCTTGTATATATATAAATAAGATTTTATCAATGTGAATATTGATGCCATTTCACATTTCATTTTTAAATTTACAGCTGAGATTATTTCTGGCAGAAATCAATAATGAATAAAGTTGTTTCAGCTGAATAGCTTAGAAGACATTGCCTATGACGGACCATAGATTTAAAGTGATGCAGCAGTCAGAGCGATGCAACTTAAAGTACTCTATGAATACAACTTTCATAAATCTGTGATGCTTTCTCGTTCTACCTGCCTGCACAATCTACCGCACGCTATCTACTACGTTCTGGATTTATTTATGCAAAAATTAATAAACAGCATGAACTGTGCACCCCATGTAATTAATATTGTTTTTGCAATGAAGTCATATTAGTTTTTGCAACTGCTATTTGAAAGCCATTTGTACGCTATGAAGCCCCATTGAAAATGTTTGTTTTAATTGAAAAAGTTGAAGCCGCTGGCAAACTGCATCTGAGTTATGTGCGGCCCTCTGAATGTTGTATAACTTTTTGGTAAGTTTTTTGTTTTGGTCTTAAAATTTTATTTATAGAGCTAAGCTGCTTTTAACCGCTTATGATTTGCGTGAATCCATCATCGTAGCCACCGCCACCGCCTCTGCCCCCGCCGCTATAACTCCTTCCTCCGCCATTATAACCGTTTGGTCCAAAGTTTCCCGAGTAAACCGGACGTCCGCTGCCGCCACCACCTCCTTGATTATAGTAGCCTCCACCGCCACCACCGCCGCGGCCGCCTCCACCATTTCCCGTGTATATGCCTGGTCCTTGACCACCGGGCGGATTACCTGTAAATTTCGTTCAGTTATTTGCGATTACTTTGTGCTTCAGCCCTTTTTACAGTCATAACATCCGCCTCCGATGTACACAGCAGCCTCTGTCAATGCCAGACCGAGCAGCAGGAAAACCGCGAAAGCAGCTGGAAAATTATTCATGTTGCTGTAGTTGTTCCACTGAATTGTTTGAGTTCTTTATATGCCGCAGCGTCAAACGGGTCTAGCTGGCTGACATAAGCGTTGTTGACTTTTATACGGCTGCGTTGACATGTTCTGTGATTTTTTTTTATTTTGCGATTCAATGATCATGTTATCGCTAGTATGAGATATATATGTGTATGTGTAAGAGCCACACGAATATATTAATCAAACTGGGGGAAATGCCCAGTCTAAAATATAAACAACTAAAAAATGTTTCGGACGGGCGCACTCAACTATTCAATACTCTCTCACAGACAACAATTTGTAAGAGCTGCCGCTCTTTTGCTTGAATGTGCTTATAGATAGATCATTAAAGTGACTTAATCCAATATACTCTATTCAGCAGGTGTTGCTGACGTTAGAATAATTACAACAATAATTACAAAGGCAGCTCTGTCTATTCCAGCTAAGCGGGCAATCGATGTGCCCTACGTCCGCGCCGAGTCAGGTTGACTGAATGAGCATTAAATGAAATGAATTTTCTGAGAGTCACGACAATTGGCAATAGATTTGGCTACAGCCAGTGATGAAGCATTCAATGTGCATTGTTATAGGAAAGGCTGGCTTCTTCGGAATTAACATTCAGTCATAATATGTAAATTGGATTTTCAGTTGAATTTTAAAAAGCGCTGTTAAAATGTCAAAGTATTTATGGGCGGGTCTACATGTCTCTCCATTTTTTTTTGTTATTTATAATGTTTGGGTAATTTTATTCATGGATTATCAGTGTGATTTTTCCCAAATGAATGCGCTACCCAAATGTTGTCTATGAATTGGCCCTGCAGCAGCTAGAATATTATATTACAAATATAATCAGTGTATCGGCTGTGCATCTGTTACAGTAGTGCATCCAGCAGCTCACACAGTGGTTTGCCACCTATTGAACTGTCAGCGATAACATAAGGTTCATGCACACAAAGGCATAATGCAAATAACTTTTAATTCAGATGGCATATAGGAAAAAAGCTATATAAGCTCTCTAAGTGTAGAACTGTTGGCAGCAGCTAAGATGAAGTACTTGACGTGTGGATTGCTTTTGCTGGCACTGCTGCCGGCTCTAATCAGCGGTGAGCATTTGCAACGATTACGTCTTGATTAATGCTAATTGCCACTGTGGCGTATACTCAATTTACAGCGTATCCCAGCACCGTGGTGGTGAATGGCGTCTGTTTGACTTGTAAGTTTCAGTTCTATTCACGCATTCAGGCATTCAATCTTTGAGCTCTCCTCCTCTCCACTCCACTCCATTTCACTCATGCTCATACTAGGTCCCAATCCAAATGGTGAGTCGGTGTACATCGATGGCCAGGAATATCGCAGCTTCTCCAACGGCAATGTGGTTGTCAGTCGCCCGGGCTACAACAATGGCCGCAACACGATTGTGAGACGTGGTGGCTCGACTGTGGTTAACGGCAACTGTGAGATATGTAATGTTGATGTTTAAAGGCAGCAAATAGTTAGTTTAACTAACTGAAATAAACCTTAAAATCACAATCAGTTTTCTAACATTGAGACATTCAAGTGATGATACTTGTGGGGGTGTTCGTCGATGAATGTACTTATATATGTGCGTATGTATGCATGGATGTACAAAAGTATGTCTGTATGTATGTATTTATGTATGGATGCATAGATGTATATATGTATCGATATATGGATGCAAGTTTATACGGATGATGCATTAATCTATAGATGTATGAAAGTGTGAATATATGGATGTAAGGATGTACTTATGGTATGTATATATATATAAGTATGGATGTATTTATGCATGGAATTATGGATGTATAGTATGGATATATAGGTGCATGGATATATGTGTATGTATGTGTGGATGTATGAATGCATTGATGTTTGTATGTACTTATGGTATGTATGTGTGGATGTATGAATGCATTGATGTATGCATGTTCTTATCGTATGTATATGTGTATGTATGTGTGGATGTATGAATGCATTGATGTATGTATGTACTTATGGTATGTATATGTGTATGTATGTGTGGATGAATGAATGCATTGATGTATGTATGTTCTTATGGTATGTATATGTGTATGTATGTGTGGATGTATGAATGCATTGATGTATGTATGTACTTATGGTATGTATATGTGTCTTTATATATGGATGTATGGATGTGTGTATGCATGGATATGTGGATATATGGATGTATGAATGTACTTCTGGTATGTATATGTATGTATGGATGTGTGAATGTATTATGTATTATGTATTTATGTATTTATGCATGTATTTATGTATATGGATATATGTATGTATGATTGTATGGATACGTTGATGTATGGATGTATGGAGATATGGATGTATGGATATATATATGTGCATATGTATTTATGTATGTATATATAGATGTAGTTATTGGTGTATGTATGGATGCATGTATGTATGTCTATATATTTGTAAATATGCTTATGTATGTTTGTATTTATATAAATAAATATGTTTGCACGCATGAAGGTATGTATGTACGCATATGCTTTATACGCTCAATCTCTACACACCACAAATGGCTTTCATAGACTTCAATTTCGTCAAATTTGGACAGTTTTTGTCAATTTTACGCACACGTTCCCAGGATACCGCAGAGCTCATGCAATGCAAACAAAGGTTGGCTGGGGGTTGTTTATTCCTTTGCTTGATAAGGACTGTTGCCTGTGTGCGGAAAGTCCATAGAGCCCTCATGGAAAAGCAGAAAAGCAACTAAATAAATAACTCAAATAACAAAACGATAATAAGAAAATAACAATCAAAAGAACTTGTCAAAGCATTTGGTTGGAATATTATGGTAAGTGTCGCACCGCAATTGATATATATGAAATGAGTGAGATGTAACAATGTTAATGCTAGTGCATACCTAGAGAGCACCTAGTTCTGAGTAGTCGAATTTGTTTGCTTTAACATTTCATGAGTTGCACACTGCGCTGACAACTTGGCGTATACTTGATGCTGATATACTGAGTGTATCAGAGGGACAATCCGCTCTAAGCAGTGAGGTGGCACAATGCACAATGAACAAGGCTTGTGTGTGCTTGCAACATGTTGCATTGCCATCATAAATTATTTAGTATGGTTCTATTATCCATTTCATCTGAACTCATGTTTGTCGCAAATTAAAAGCAGCTTGTGCTCATATCAAATAGGATTTGAAGCCATGCGCTGCAAATGATATGAAATTGAAGAGCACAAGTAGGAGTTAGGCAGTTAGTCCAGTTGGCTTTGGCACTATTGAGCCATATTTGATTTCGAATGCCAATTAAAATATAATTGCATTCGTTAGCATTTGCTGTTTTTGTTGGCTATTAGTAATATTATGCCTGAATAAAATCTATATAAAAAGTAGCATTTTGTAATTTGAGTTTTTCCTTCATTTATTTACATCTGTTGGGCTTCGGCCATGGCAGCTCGTCTTAAATTTCACTTCGTTTGGCCTTTAAAGTTTGCTGGGACTTGGCTAGTCCCTATTGGAATTTAACAGAAACCATTTATTGTCGTCACCTTCGATTTCTATGAGGTTAATGTTAATACCGTCACGTTTGTGATGCCGAGCACCAACTGTGAACTCAATTTAATTTAATATCACAGCCGGAAATTTATTTGTAATGATTAATTTATAGGCATTGAAAGATCTCAAATATTTGCTTTAATTTCCTCTCTTCGAGCACAAAGTGAAATTTAATTGAAACGACGCTGGCAGTCCATACAATTGTACCTTGACTACGTATATATATCTATATATAGATATGTGATAAGTATATATGTTTATGTGTATCTTATATCACCTTTCGTTACATTCGCATTCCCTGGGCAAACTCTGAATATATTATATGCTTGGCATTTATGTGTGTTTGTGGGGAAGAAGTGAAGTGAATTGCACCTGTCCCTTATTGCACTCAGAGGAATCATTGAGTTAATAATTCAATTTCTAATCGCGCGCGGTTTTCAATTCACTGCACAAATTAAATAGGAGGAATTATAAAATTGTAAAAAAACAAAAATGAAATGCTTATGTAACTCAACACATTGTGACACCAACAGAAACAAAAGGGTTCGGGTCGCCTGTACAATTGTTTTGTATTCATAAAGGCAGCGAACTACCTGAACTTGAATTGCGGCCGGGCAAAGTTTTTGTTTTGCTTTGGGTACTTGAAATTGTTTTGTACAAGCCTCTATTTATTTGGGTCTGATTTCCGCACTAAAACCTTGTTTGGTCAGGCTTTACTTTTTGCAAGAAATTGTTTGTTGCTTCTTGCCTTTGGAGAGCGGAATTTCCGTTGGGAATTTTGTGTCCTGCTTGTTGTTGGCGACAAGTGCTTCGCTCTTGGCAACCGTGGAGTGGGTCCACTTGACTCAACAGTTATATTTGCTTTGGCCAAAATATTAAACGTTTTTCCGCAGCATTCGCCTGCTGAAGCAAAGCTCATTTATCACGTTTAGCCATATTTTATTTATTTATATTGATGGCTTTGCCAAAGGTAACTGACTTTCTTGACTACTCAAGCGCATTGGGACTTAATTGAATTCAGTGAAAATTGGTCTGCAAGAGCAGCGCCTTAATCAGACACATATTTTGTGCTTAACGTATTTGCTATGGAACACGCATGAGAGCATTACATACACACCTGATCAGGTGCCAGCCCACGCAATTCTATTTATGGGCCAGAATTGACAACTTTTGGTTTTTGTTGTCACAGGGAGTCAATTTCATTTTCATTTGCCGTTATGCAATGAAAGTAAAACGAAAGCAGCGGGAGGCATCACATATTTTCTAAATCAAATGTCAATTTCGTGCTTCGGTATTTATTACTTAAAGATGCATGATGAATGTGCTTTAAGGATTATTTTTACGATTCGCTGATTTCATATTCAATTAAATGATTAACAGCTCAGGCCTTGCTGCCCTTTGTCCTATCAATCTATGCCAGGTACCAGCTATTCCTGTGTCCTGTGGATAATTACAAATTTCCATGGCTTCTCCATATAATCAGAGTACGTTGTCAGAGGCAGCTGTCTGTCAGCAGTAATGTGGTTACGAGTCGCTGTTGCATATTTTGCCAGCTTTTATTTTGTTAATATTTTAATTAGACTGTCACGCCCTGCTCAGCGCTGCTGCATATGTTTGTGATTAGTTGGGTAGCTTGATGCGCTCGGCTGGCGTGTCCATTATCAAGGCTCGACTTGGTCAGATTGTATTTTATGAAAATTCACTTTGCTTTCGCATGCAGTGCAACGTGTCGTCCGCCTAATGCGCTTAACCTTTGCTTTGTTGACCTTCAGTTGCTATCAGATATTCAAGTTTATAATTAAAAGCTTAAGTTCCTTTGTGCTATCAGTCTCTGGCAGGCGCAACTTATTCATATCACACGGTTAATTAGTGCTTAGCAAAGCTTCTTTATGTAATCGAAACGAGCCGTCTGAAGCACCTGTTAGTTGTGCGGTAATGCGATTATGAGTCGTTGTTGCACCTGTGCCCCCAACTCTCGCGAACTGACTCGTAACTCCCACACTTTTTCTCGTTACATTTTTTAATTACATTGTCAGTCATGCAAGCGCAGTTGAAACAAATTATGCTCAGCTTTTCAACTGCTGCATGTGAGTGACACGGTGGTCATCGAGTAGTTTCGCAGCTAGCGCGTCCTTCGCCAAGGTCCCTGATATATTGTGCTAAAGTTTACGACCGCAAGCCAATGTGCCCTAGCCCCTGCATGTGTGTGTGTGTGAGTGTACGTGTTTTACGACGCTAAGGTGTGTTGTTCACCAGGCACTGACCTTGACACATGTGGCTTTGTTTCACATGGGCAGACATTGTGGCAGACGCCAGCTTATAACAATTAAAAAGCTGACAACAAAACGAGAAGCATATCATTTACGGGCTCCATTCAAGCGAGTCCATTCATAATTCTCGATTTGCTTCAGTGATGCGTGCGTAATTCAATTTGTTTCCACAAACGGACAAATTTTACAAATCTCAATGCTCTCTCAGAGTTGTCCTGTCAATGGACTCGAGCTGAACCCATTTGGCGCCTGAATGGATTTTCTGAACCAGCTACAATTGATTTAACGTGAGTGTCACGCAGGTGTCACCAAGTGCTACACAAAACTTGTCAAGGACAGCCAGATACCCTTTAGCTAATGCACTTCATGAGATGCTTGCCTGCCAGCCAGAGCTCAGATGCTCTTTTCCGTGATTGTCCCTTTGGTAAATTCAGACAGGTAATCAAATGATTTAACAAACTACTTTAGTAGCTGAAGAGAATTAGGCTTTAATTTAGTATAAGGCCCGCCCGACTCGGCTATCAAATTCCGTTTTATGGCGCCTCAGTTGGCTGGGCCACCGCACGGACTGTATATTTGTAAATCTTGCCTTTACTGCAGTCAGGTGGCACAGTTAACAAATGGCACATGTTTATGCCTAGTCCTTTAGACACATGTGTGCGCCATAAAAATGGGTCAGTTTTTAAATGAATTTCGTTTTT